CAATTAAATACATAATTTATAGAATAAAATAACAATTCATCATAATAATTGCAAGAGAAAGAAAGAATTAAAGATTAAAATAAAAAGATGATAAATGAATAAAATAGAAAAAATGATAGAAAATAACAGAATAGAAAAATAGAATAAGAATAAAAAAGACAAATAATGAAATTCATTAAATTATAGAAAATGAATAAAATGAAGAGTAAAATCAAAATAAATAATAAAGAAAAAAAGAATAAATAATACAATATATAAATAATAATACAATGATATATGAAATTACATTTCTTACAAATTATAAATTATTAATTATGTGTAAAATGATACTAATAAAATGAAATATTTAATTCAATTAATTTACAACACCATGACATTTACAAATATGAAATGAGAGAAATAAGATAGAAATAATAGAAATTCACAAACAGAAATATCAAAATATAATGGTTGTCAATTCAATTGTTATACATTCAAAAAGAATAATACATACGAATAAAATAATATAAAAAGAATAATTAAATAATGAAAAAGAAACAATAAATATAAACTATCATCAAATAATCCAAATTAATTAATATTTAATTCATAACTAACTAAATGTAATTGAAGAATGAATTAAAATCATTGAATATGTTTTACTAATACTCATGATGAATAATATGAAGTTAATCATTTGTACTGCTTTTGAATCAAAGAAATACCAAAGATAAAGTTGAAAGAATGATAAATAAATGGTATAAATTATCAGTTTAATGATGTTGAATTCCTTTATAAAGATAAAAACAAAATTATGCAATAAACAAAGAATATTTACATTATATAAAAGAAAAATATTTTTATTCAAACATAACTTCTCTCAAAATATGATATTTTTTAGATATTGACTTTTCAATGTACGTTTGTTTGAATGTTATAAAAGTGATGGACATATGATGGTTTCAATGAAAACATATTTTTTACTTCTCATTTATGAAAAGATTTATTTCATCAAACAACTAACACAGAATTTAATGTTAAAACTCGACAATTCTAAACAAAAAAAACTAATCTCCAAACATAACTGAGTTGGTTAAAATAAACTATTAAAACAATAAAAGAAATGAGTAAAAAAGAAGTAAACAATAATCAATATTACAAAAGAGGAATGAAACAATAACAATTACTATTAACAAAGACTCATCATCATAGCCATTGCCATATCAGGGTCTGTCATTTTATTAACATCTAACAAATTATATGCATCATCTGATATATCACTTCTCATTTCAACTCCAAGTTCTTTAAATTTATCAATAACTTCCTTACGAACATTAGCAAAAGAAGGAGTTTTAAGTTCATTTCTTTGAGATTTTTTAATGACTTCTAACAAATCAATCTCGTTATATTCTTCTTTTGGTTGATTCACAATTTTTGTTATTTCACGATCTATATCAATTTCGGAGATATAAACTTTAGTTACTACTTGACAAACATCACAATATAATTCACACTGTCCTAAATTAAATTTTGGGTGGAACAATAAACAAAGAGTACAAATAAACCGTTTTCCTTTACAACACCTTAAAGTATTCATTCCTTGTCTTACAGTTTGAAAACAAATCATACATATTTTATCATCGTCACAATAAGGCTCTTTACTTGGATAAATTGGTGCAATTTTTCTTTTACGAATTAACTTTTCAACAATTGAATTTTTCATACCTTTAGGGAGTATTATGTCATTTGGGAGATGATATTTATGAACATCTAATTGTTTCTTAAAATTATATTTAATTAATGCTTTAGGGTCATTTGGTAAATCACTTTTATTTCTTTTAAATAAGTGAAACATCCAACTTTGTTTTATCAGTTCAGTTTTGTTTTGATTTTTCATTTTGATTTTTTTTTCTTAATTAATTTTATCTTATTTGTTTTTCATTTGTTATTGACCTTTCTTTTCTTCTTCTCTTTTATTTTTTCTAAACTTGTAATTTGTCATATTCAAAATCTATAATTAAATATTATTAATTTAGTAAAATAAAACTATAATTATAGCTTTTCTGTAAAATTTAGAGGTATATTCTATTTTTATGAACTTACATTCTGTAATAGAACATAACTAACTTGTATTTTAAAAACTGTTAACTTCATCATTTGCTGATCTAATTCTTTTAGAAAGATTTAAAGATTGAATGACATAAGGATGTTTATATACTTCTTTCCAAGAAAGACGATCTTTTTCATGATGGGTAATTAAATGAAGAATAAGGTGTTTTAGTTGATCATTGATAATGATGTCATCTCTAAATTCAGCAGGAAGTTCATTTGTCATTGCATTTTGAAAGACATCAGGAATATCAGTAAATGGGAATTCTTTAGTAGCCATATAATATAAAATTACACCAAGACTATATAAATCAGCTTTAGCAGTATAAGGTTGATTTTTTCTTATTTCAGGAGCTTCATATAAAGGAGTACCAACCATTGACTTCATCATTCCATCAATTCCTCTTGAAAATCCATAATCAGCAATTTTGAGTAATGGGTATTTTGAAGATGATGACTTTAATAATAAATTAGCTGGTTTAAGGTCTCTATGAATTAATCTTTTATTAAAATGAAGATACCATAATCCACTACAAATTTCTCCAAGAAAATAACTAATTTCTTCGTTTGATAATGGAGTTGGTTTATTTTTAATATATATTTCTAAATTTCCTGCATTACAATATTCCATTACTAAATAAACATATTTCCCTTCTGGACTTTGTTCACCTCTTATTTCAGCAATCATTGAATGATTCCATTCAAAAAAATCCTTATATTCTACTAAATTAGGATGTTTACATAATCTCATACAACTAGCTTCACGTATTAATGAGTCAATTCTTTGTGAAATTTCTTTAATAGCAAATTGGGTATGGTCTGTATTTTCTGCTAAAAAGACTTGACCAAATTGACCATGGTCTAATTGTTTTAAGGGTTTATAATTTTCTCTTTTACCTTGTGTTCCATATTTATAATTCTTACACATTTGAATGAATGGATGAGTAAGAACTTCTTGCATTGAAATTCTTTCATCTGGATCATATTGAAGCATTTTGGATAACAAATCACATGCCATCTCATTTTGTATAAATGAAGAAACGTCAATAAATACTTGTGCTGGTATAGCACTGAATGAATCCATTTGCATTAACTCAAATGGTAATCTACCAACTAATAATTTAAATATTAACATTCCAAATGACCATACATCTGATTTAGAATGACTGTACCAATTTAAATATTCTGGAGCAGCATAATCAACGTCACATAATTCTAGTTCATTAGGGATTGTCTGTTCAAATTGATCACATAACCCGAAATTTGATAACTTTACTTTAGGGAAGATTGAAGCAGGATCTCGAGATAATAAAATATTACATGGATATAAATGAAGGTGTTGATGATTTAATGTTTCATAAATATATTCTAATCCTATTGCAATGTCAGAAATAAAAAATAAATTCTGGTCTTGCTGAATGATTGCATTACTTTTCCAATACTCATCAATACTTTTAAAACTACAATACTCCATAATAATCCAATATTCTAATGACCCTCTCTGTTGTTATTTAATATTTAATAAATTCTTATGTAATAAAATAAGAAAATGAACAAACAATTGTAGTATAAAATGAGTTGAAATATTGTAATACATGTGGATTATCAATAGTTTCCATATATTTGGAATAAACTTCTCTTCTTTTATTTTCCTCTATTTTATTTTCATCAACTTTAATCATTTTAATTGCAACAATACGAACTTGTCTATGTCTTAATCCTGATCGTTCTGTAGCTTTATATATTTCTATTTTACTATCTTTATACAATTCATCTTGAATAGTGAATTTAGTGACTTGTGATAATGGAGCGAGGGTGTAATTCTCCATTGAGATATATTTATTAGTTCAAAATGATTTTAGATCATATAACAAAAAAAAAGGTAAAATAAAATCAAAATAATAAAAAGTCGTTAATTAAGTGGTAGTTCATTTATTTTCTATCGTTCTTTACTTGCTAGAAACTAAGCACACAAATAGGATTTCAGAATGTTTACTCATTAATTATTTATTTTTTAGCCTTTCATTCTTGTTGAGAAATATGACTTTCTATTCTTCATTTCTTTTTTGGAACTGAGTTAATGTCTTTTCCTATTTCATCAACTTATCTATTTTTCATTTTATATGTTATCTCATCTTTATTTTAATCTTAAATGTATTTTAAAATTCTTCCTTCTTTATTTTCTTAATTTCTGATGAAAGGATATATCTTAACCATTATATTATTAATCCATAATTTTATCTATGACGATCAATAACATTATGCAAATCAATTTTTTCTTTTGATAATACATTTATATTAGCAAATAATATTACGACTATTATAAACACACTCTCTTTTATTAGAATAATTGATATTTCATTATCATAAATATTAATCACTATCATAATTGCAATATTGGTTAAGATGTTTTCTATTCAATAACAACATCATGAACAGACAATAATTAATGATTCAATGATTTGATTTCGTTTAATGGTTGTGATGTACCTGATATTCCATCTTGAAATTTAAATAAAATAAAAAAATTAAAACAAAATAAAAAATCTTAGTTTTTTTTTGTTTTAATGGAATCACCTCATCAATCTATAAGTGAAGATGACAATGATTATAACCAAATTTTTGATAAACTAAGTGCTGATGCAGAGCTAATTAATAAAAACAAAAGGAGGTATCCAACAGAGTCATGTCAAAAAGTTAAATTAACAACACATTCATATTCAGCACCAATAGTAACAAAGAAAGTGAAATGGCTTGAAATCTCAGAACACCAAAAAGTTGATATTGAAAAAGAGATGGTTTGTCGTGTCTTAACTTTTAAATATCCTTTCAATTCAGAAATAACAAAATTTGATTGTCCCCCATTAGAGTTTAAATCAGCAGAACATTATATTAATTGTTTTAAACCAATTCTATTTGATGAAATTCGTGCAACAATTCAAAAAAGTCTTATTGAAAATGAAGAACCATTTGTTGTTGAAGGTATAATAAATAAAATTGAAATAACAAGAAATGATGTTTTACTTTCATTAAATGTACAACGAGAAGAATGGGGAGAATTTGATTTAATAGTAGTCTCAAATGTTTTATTTGAAACAGGGACATTTCCAAAAAATTTTCCTTTTATACTTGGAGTTATTGTAAAAAAAGGAGAAGAAGATAAAGAGTCATCTTTAACATTAAGATGTTTAAAAACAACAGAACAAAACAATGTAAATTTCTTTAAAATTATTGGAAAAGGGAAAAAAGTATATATGAGAAAAATTACATCAATAATTAGCTCAGCAAGAGAATATCTTTCATTATGTACTGTACAACACCTTTCATTATTAAAAACATTATTAAAACCATCATTAAAAGATACTTCACCTTCAAATGGAATTTTTGGAAAATATTTACAAACAATGAAAGAAACTAATATTTTTAATTCATCTCAAATTGAATGTATTAATTCAGCATTATCAAAAAAAGGATTTTCATTAATTCAAGGACCACCAGGAACAGGAAAAACAAAAACTTTATTAGGAATTTTAGGTGCTATAATTTTTGGTAAACCAGCATCTTTCAATAAACAAGGAACAATAAAAATGAAACACTCAAAAATATTAGTTTGTGCACCTTCAAATGCAGCAGTTGATGAAATTGTATTAAGAATTCAAAATGAAGGAATATTAAATGGAAATGGAAAAAAACAAAAAGTTAATATTATTAGAATAGGAAATTATGCAGGTATTAACTCAAAAGTTAATGAAGTACTTATTGATACATTAATTAGTAATGAATTAATTAAAAGAGGATATAATGAACAAAAAAGAACAGAAAATGTTAGTTCAAAAATTGCATCAATTGAACAAAAAATGAGAGCATTAACAAAAGAAATAGAAGATACAACCATTGCTTTAAATAATGAAAAAGAAAAAGTAGTTTCATCTACTAAAGAAAATGATAAAAAAATTAATAGAATACACAAATATACACAAACATTAAAAGAAATGAATAATAAAAGAGATGCATTTAGAGTTACTCTGCAACAAATGAAATCAGAAAAAGGAAAAATTCAAAGAGATTTTGCAAAAATAAGAAAAGAAATTACAAAACAATTATTTGAAGAAGCTGATATTCTTTGTTGTACTTTAAATACTTCAGGAAGTGATATTTTTTTAAATTGTATTAAAGAAAAAATTGAAAATGTTATTATTGATGAAGCAGCTCAATCTGTTGAAATATCAACTTTAATTCCTTTAAGATTTGGTGCAGAAAGATGTATATTAATTGGTGATCCTCAACAACTTCCAGCTACTGTAATTTCTGTTGCAGCACAAAATTCTGGTTATGACAGAAGTTTATTTGAACGATTATATAAATGTGGAGTATCTGTTGATATGTTAAAAATTCAATACAGAATGCATCCTTTAATTAGAGAATTTCCATCAAATCAATTTTATTCAGGAGAATTAATTGATGGAAGAGATGAAAGTATTTTACCATGTTCTATTGATAAAGGATTTGGTCCTGTTGTATTTTATGATGCATGTGGTGGATTAGAAGAACGTGTTGGACAAACACTTGCAAATGAAGTTGAAGTTCAAATTGTAATTGGGTTATTAGAAGGATTAATAAAAAAATATCCAAATTGTAAAGAATGGGATATTGGTATAGTTACTCCTTATAGACAACAATTACTATTAATTAAAATGGCAATAGAAACATCATTGTTATTAAAAGAAATGTCAAAATTATGTGTTAATACTATTGATGGATTTCAAGGTAGAGAAATGGATATTATTATATTTTCTTGTGTAAGAAGTTCTCAAATAAAACCAAGTATTGGATTTCTTAGTGATATAAGAAGAATGAATGTAGCATTAACAAGAGCTAAAAATGCATTATGGGTTATTGGAAATAGTAATACTTTATGTACAAATAAAACATGGAAACAATACATTGAATGGCTTAAAGAAAAAGATTTAATTATTGAAATTAATGAAAATATTATTAGAGACACAAGTAAATATGGAGAATTTGGTATAACAAAAAATATTTCTAATAATCCTCACTTTGTTCAAGAAAAGAAAAAAGATAAAATATTTACTTTTGAAGAAATAGTTGAACTACAAGAACAACAAAGAATTGAAAAAAGAAATGAAAGACTAAAAGAAAAAAATGAAGAATTAAAACTTATTAATAAAGAACAACAAATTCAAATAGAAGTTAAAAAACAACTTGACTTAATTCAAAAAAGAGAAAGAAATAAAATGTGTAAACGTTTAAAATTGTTAAGAACATATGAAAATACTCGATTAGAAGAAGAATTACAAATTAGAAAAAAAAGTCAAAATGAAGATGAAATTAAAAAATTTGAATTGACAGAAAGAGAAGAAATAGAAAAAAGATTAGCTACTGAAAAAAATAGAATTGAGTCTTCAATTCAACAACTTCTTGATTCACAAGAACATCAAATAAGATCTTCTATTGAAAAACAATTTAATGAAAATCCTATACAATTCATTAATCTTCAAAAACCAAATAACTCTCAAGATCAACTTAATACTTCAGAAGAATCTAACAAAAATAAATCTGATGAAAATAATGATATTGATTCATTTGATTTATCACAAGTAGAAGAAGACAATGATAATACTTCAACGAAAGATAATAATGAGCAACAAGAAGAAAAAGAAGATGTTCAAAAGTCTGAAAGAGTAATAAACAATAGTAATCAATTAGAAGAAAAAGAACCATTTGATCTTGAAAAAGCTAGAAGCAATTTTGAGAACCAAGTTATTGGAATGTATCATGACATGTATGATATTGAAAATGATATTGAAAGTAGAGAAACTCATAAAATTAAAATTCCATCAAGAAAAATATCGAGTAAAATTAAAACATTAAAGAAAAAAGTAATTGAAACAAAGAATGAATTTAATAAAATTAAAGACTTCATTCCTTCATTAGTTTCTAATGAAGGTAATAATGAAAAAGAACAACGTAAACATTCTTGTTCTGAAGATTCTGAGTATGAAGAAAAAAGGACATTAATTAATTAATTTGATTGGTTTATTTAATTTAAACTTTAATCACTATAATTATAAACTTAAAAAAATATCAATTAATGAGATGGTCTTTGATAAACATATTCTTCATCTTCTATAACAAAACCATTGTCTTCAGTTAAGTCTGTTTGATTCTTATTATCTTCTTTAACTTGTTCTATAACTGTTTTTGTTTCTTCTTGTTTTGGTTCTTGAACAACTTCTGTTTGGTCAACCATGAAATTGTTAGTAAATAGAGAAGTTGGTTTATTAACAAAATCAAATGTCATTTCATTGTTGTTATTGTTACTAAAGAAATCATCAAATGAAAAGTCTTGTTTTGTTTCTTGTTTTTCTTCTTGGTTTATTTCTTGTTTTGTTTCTTGTTGTGTAATATATTCTTCTTTTTTTTCATTTAATTCAAATTTGTCAGTGTCTGACTTGCCTTCTTCAGGACTTATTAATTCTGGTTTATCTTCTTCAGTCCTTATTGGTTCTTCTTTAATTGGTTCTTCTTTAATTGGTTCTTCTTTAATTGGTTGTTCAAATGCATTATTAAATGAAAAGTCATTATTAAATGAAGTTGAACCAAACGTATTTGAATCAGTTGATTTACTAAAGAAATCATCAAAAGAGAAATCTTGTTTTTGTTCTTCTTTAATAATATTATTTTGATTATTATCTATCTCATGGCTAATGTCAGGATTTTTCTCCTCTTCATGATTGAATGACTCACTTATATTAACCTCTTCTTTTTTATTTTCTATAGGCTTACTTTCTCCAAATGAAAAGTCATCAAATTTTGGCATATCATTTCCAAAGAAATTATCAAATTTTACTTCTTCACTCTTTGATGTATTAAATCCAAAATCTTCAAATGGTTCAAATGATGAAGTACCATTTATTGAAGGGGTAATTTCTTTTTTTTCATTATTACAAAGAACACAATGACTTCCTTCATTTAATAATCCACATTTATCACATTTCCATACATTATTTCCTCCTATTTGAATACCTCGTTTAGTACAAACAATATTTAAAGTTTCTCCACAATTACATTTATTCAAATCTATTTTATCTTTACCACACTTCCAACATTTATTAACAATTTGTTTTATTTCTAATCCATTCTCTCCAAAAGATTGTAAGAAATTATTTACATTACTAATACAACAATTCATTTTCTTTAAATATTCAATAGCAAGTGCAATTGCTAATCTTCTATGTGGTTTTAGTACAGGTAAAATCATTAAAAAACAATTTAATAAAACACCTTCTTCATTTTCTTTTGTTTCATTAAATTCAATAATTTCACACATAAGAAAATATGCCTTAACTAATTTCGTTAATTTATTATTTAATTCCATTTGAGCACATTTTTTAAGTAATATTTCTGCATCATCAATTTTATTATTTTCCATTAATTTAAGGGCTTTTTTAATTTCTTCTATTTCATTTTCTTCTTTTTTTTCTTTTTTCTTTTCATCTTTCGTTTTTGGCTTTGCACCAAAAGCAAATGAGATTGCTTTAACTTTTTTCTTTTCTTCTGGTTTTGTTTCTTTTAGATTTATAACAATATTTACTTTCTTTTTTCTTTCCTCTTCATCTTCTCCTTCTTGTTGTTCATCTTCATCACTATCAAACCATTCTTTATTATCTTTTTCAAATAATGGATCTTTTTTTATGTCAAATTCATAATTTGGTGCTTCTTCTTCTTTTTCTACAACTTTCTTTTTTTTTCTTTCTTCAATTTCTTTTAATTTTCTTTCAAGAGGGTCATCATCTTCATCACCTTCAAGTTTTTTATTTTCTTCTTCTTTCTTTTTCATTTCAATATTAAGTCTTTGTTCTCTTTCTTTTTTTAATGCTTCATTAAGCATAGGTATATTCTTTTTCTGTTTAACAAACCAAGGTAAACAAAATGCAGGAAAGAGATAGAAATACCCTTCAATGATTACATCAATATAATTCTTTGGTTTTGTAGAATATTTCTCAAAGTCTTCAAAACTCAATGGCATTGTTGTTGATGGAAATAAAATAACTTGTAATTCTTGAATTAATTCTGAAATTGTGATATTTTTTTCATATGTTGCATTGACAAGTAAATTAAAATCTTCATAATTTAATTCATTTCTATTTTCTGTATTAATTAAATGATATGCAAGTTGGGTTTTTTCATGATCATTCAATGTTGGATATGCTAACATTTTTGACGCAAATGCTATTCATTTAGAATTATCTTTTTTTACTTGAATTTCATTTAAATATAAAACAAACTAAAAAAGGTAGTTTTTTGTGTGTTTTTATCATCAAATACTCTAAAAAATGATTTCGTAATTTCATCATATGGTACATCAAAGAAACGTTTAAATGAGTCATACGTCATTTCTAATTTCTCTATCTTTTTCTCTTTTGAAACAACCTTTACTTTAGAAAGATCAATTGGTTGTTGTTCAGCAACAATACTAAAAAATAAATAAAAGTCTGTCAATGTTTGATTATCAGCTTTTTTATATAATGCTCGTAATTTACTTTCAGAAAGTCCCATTTCTATTTGTTTCTTTTTAGAGTTTCAAGTTGAAACAGAATTTTCTTCTTCTTCTTTTTTCATAAAGAGAAAGAAATAAATTAA